CCATGTCTAAGCAAAAGCTTGTCGAGGAGCGAGGGGAAGAAGGGAGAGTCTGTGCTTTCTCTTTGTTTTCTCTTAAACCGTAGCCGCTACTGTACGTTAGTTTCGGCCGCTGCTGTGTTCGGCTGCTGTGTTGCACCTGCATTGATTGTTCCGAAACCTGAAGAAGCAGCATCACTACCGGGCGGGCAACAAGCGCGTCATGGGTTTAACCATAGCAAAGTCGTGCTGTCCATGTGTGCAGCCATGGGCTACTAATACGGATGGATAGGTTACTTCACGTGTGCATACCTTCCTGTGGATGCATATCCCACACGTCACCTACACTCTGCTTTGTCATAGCAACAACTGCGCAATAGACTCTCGGAAGAACAAGGGACACCCAGGCGAGCTATTGTAGCGAACTCTGGCAAACAACCTGCTTCCTGTTGCGGCAATAGGACGGGCATCTTCAATAGGACGTCTCCCGTGCGTGATATACGACGAGCGCCCCCCTCTTTTTTCGCACCTAGGTACAAGTTCTCCCGCAAATAGCACCTTGTGGCTCCGCAACACGAGCAGAATATAGCTGTCAAGCTGCCTCCCACCAGCTCAACCACTGCGAAGTACAGGTGATGCCGGAGGGTGAGAGAAATACGGGGAGGAACGGGTGACCTTGGTTGTTGCACCCTCTGCACGGTTTTCGCTCTCTCGGCACGTTTTATCACAGGGCTGCATGGATGTCGTTTATGGGTTCAGAGTTTGAAGATTCAGAACCTCACGAATCGACATGTGAACCTGTGTAGGTCCAGCTAATTCCCCGCTTGCTTGGTCGCACGCCCGATGCTCCACCACCTACACTCCGCTCAAGCTTTACTGGGCACTCTGGTGTCTGGTGTCTGTTGCTCTCGTGGGCTGCGAGTTTTGTCGCGCTGTGCAGTTCCCTAGGTGTGCTCTGGTTCCGTGTTGCGGCCTCGGCACGCTCATGTTCTCATGATAGGAGGTTGAGAAGCGGGGACACGGGAAGCGGGGAGGGGGTTTGCAGGGAGAGCGGGAGAGGAGAACCTGCCGATTGCGCCCATCGGGTCCGCCAAACACCGCCGTCATGGAAGGACGTTCTATCTTGAGCATGATCGCAGGGTTCATCCCGCCATCGTCCGATCCGCCACCCAACGCTCCATCCTCGCCCCCGCGTCGCCCCTCTCCGACCATGAGCGGGAGGTCATCCACAGCAGCGGTTGACAGCGGCAGCAGTTGCCAGACACCGGCTGACGCTGCTGCCTCTCGCTCGGCGGTGCCGGGGCGGCGACTCGTGCACATGATCTGCTTTTCAAAGGACCGCGCTTTTCAGCTGGATCAGCTGCTGGCGTCAGCCTCGCGTCACCTGTGTCTTGCGCAGGAGGGCGGGAGGCAGGGGGGAGGAGAGGCGGGAGACGACCTGGTGGTTACACCCGTCCGACTTCGTGCCTCCGTGCTCTATCTCGCCACTGCTGGTGTTGCTGCTGGTCCTGCTGCAGCGGTGACGGTGGCGCCCGTGTCACGCGCAACGGCAGCGGCAGCGGCAGCGGCAGCGGCAGCGGCAGCGGCAGCGGCGGCGGCCGAATCTCTAGAAGTAGGAGGAGGAAGAACACGATGCTCATACTCACCACAAAAAACGATGGAAGAGTCGTACGATCTGGTACGGCGGAGGCATCCAAACGTCCGGTTTCTCCGAGAACGGCCAGGGGAGTTCTGCACCCAGCTTCGTTCGCTCGTCGGCGAGGAATGGGAGGAAAGAGCGAAAAAAGGAGAGGGTGGCCACGACGAGGAGGGTGGCGAGGCGTTTGTGCTGTTTGCTGTGGATGACATGTTCTTCTATCGCGATTTTATGTTGCCCGACGCTGTCCGACTGTTAGCAACAGGTGAGAGCTGGACTGCCTATGTTTGTGTATGTTGTGTTCGCGTGGAGGAACATATCTCAGCGTCCATTAGAGCGGGAACCGCTATTCAGTGGGAAGGCATGCTCCTTCCGAGATGCGGCTGTGCGACATGTGGACGTCCGGACGAAGCCCTCCCGCAACGAACAAAACCCGCCGGAGTGAGAGAGACACTATGTACCATACCAGTGAGAACTTAGCACCGGATTGTAGAGCTACCGTACGCGATGAGGTTGCCGACCTGCGACCGCATCTATCATCATCCGCAGCTAACACGTCTCCCCGTCCTTTGCCCTAGGGGATGCATATACTTACTTGGCCGTCGCTCTTCACGCCTTTTCTCCGTGCCGTGCCGCCCGACTTGCCATCCCCCCCTCCCATGGCCTCTACGACGGCAGACCCGTCCATGTTCTGTGTCCACCTCCGCCTTCACCCGGGCATCACTTGGTCGCACACCGCGGGATCACCGTGCAGCGTACCGCCTCTGTCGCCCACCGTCGGACACGTGGTCCAGTCGCAACAGGGCGTCGATCACGGTAGTGGCGGCGCCGAAGGCAGTGGTAGCGGCAGCAGCAGCAGCAGTCAAAGGGGGAAGGGTGGGTTCGACGTCTGTTGTCTGGGCGGAAGAGAAGAAGATCACCCCGCGGGAGACCCTATTGGGACGTCGGGCGGCAGCGACGCCTGGTCGCGGCGGCAGCGGCGGCACCCGCCAGTCGTCGCCGCCGCGGAGTTCGGGCTGCTATCCTTTACCCGCGCCCAAGGCACGGGCGAGTGGGACTACCCTTGGGATCTCACGGGGGGTCTTTATAGGTGAGAGCCATTTTTGTTTCAGCCCTCCCTCAGCAAATGGAATCAATCGTCCCGGTGCGATTCCTTGCCTCGTTCTTCCGAGAGGCGTGTGGGGACTCGCGGCGTGATTGGTACCGGTTGGTGTTTGCCGCGAGACGCACATACGTTAATGTTTACCTTGCTGGTGTATTTGCATACTTCTGTCCCCGCGGCTTCTCCTCGTCTGCTTCTCCCTGCTCAGGCGCGCGGACGCCGTTGCGGTGTTGGACGGGATAGTGAGCGCCTACGGCGCGGGGGCTGCGGCAAACCCAAACCTTTTGGAGCATCACGGGCACACGTTGCTGCTACAGCAGCAGCGGGGGCTTCCGCAACGAAGCGAGGCCACCGAAGTCGCGACCGCGAGCGATATTTCTACCAGCAAAAGCGATACCAACAACGCCGTCAGGGATCCAACAGCAACGCCTTCTTCTTCTCGCCCTTTTCTGGCCCCGCTTGCCTGCGACAAATCAGAGGCAGTCGCTGGTACACCCCCGTCCCACGGGGACCCCAAGACTGCATCCCCACCACCCGCTACGGCAGAGTCTGGTTCTCGTCTCGCCGCCGCCGCCGCCGCTGCTGCTGCTGCTTCCGCGGCCACTTCTGCCGCACCTGCCGCACCAAGCACCGTGAGTGCCGCCCCGCGGTGCGGCTGCTCGGGGAGGGCGGTGGTCAGCTCGCTCGCCGTGAACCGAGTGCAATCCACGTACTCGACGCCCGTGTACGCTTCGCGGGAGGGCGGCGTGCTGGACCTCAACCGCAGGCTCTGGAGTGACGTCCAACGCCCGTTGCCGTCGTCGTCAACAATCACAAGATGTGACGCTGCCGACGTCGACGCCGAGGCCGGCCAAAACACTGGCCCAGGAGCAGAATTGGGCGAAGTAGAACCAGCGAGAGGAGAGAGGCAGGAACTTGAGAACGGCGGCGGCAAGGCCAGGGATGCCGCTTCAGAAGCCGGAGGTCGATGTGAGAAGGGGGAACGAGGAAGCGGCCGAGGGGGAGGGTTCGACGGCCGAGCTTACCGCCGGCGCGTGTTCAACTCCGTCCACGTGGGCGAGCTTTGGTTCGAGGGCGGCGGCGACTCGGAGGAGGTCGTGGCCAGCTGCGGTGGCGACGACGGGGTTGGGAGCGACGGCGACAAGAACGGCGGCGGCGGCTGCACCGACCAACAACAGCGCAAGCGCCAAAACACGGTGACCGTCCTTCTTCCCGTCAAGAACGGCGGGGACCGCCTCCTCGAAGCCGTCGAGAGCGTGGCCGCCTGCTCGCGCCGGATGCCTCGCGGCTGGTGCTCGGAGCTTCTGATCGTGGACGACGGGTCGGGGGACGGTGCGGTCGACCGGGCGGTGACGGCGGTGACAGCCGGGGCCGGTGCTGCTGCCGACTTTGCCGGCTGCGGGCGCCGGGAGCTGGACGGATCTCGACAGCACCCGGAGGGTGCAAGGAGGAGGGCATGCGACAAAGAGAGGGTGATGGATGGATGCGGGGGCGGGGAAGGCGAAAAAGTGCCGTCGGAAGCGGACGAGGGCGGGGTAGGGCACCCAGAAAGTGGTACGAGTGACTGCTGTGTTGACTGCGACGGTAGCAGCGGCAGTGGCGGCAGCGGTGTTACGGACGATGCCAGAGCGGTGGTCCGTGGTGAAGGCGGGACCCCGGGCTTCACGGTGAAGGTTTTGCGGCACGATCGTACGCTTGGGCTGGCAGAGAGCCTGAATGAAGGGCTGAGGGAGGCGACGAGCAACCTGGTGGCCAGGATGGACGCGGACGACGTGTGCATGCCCGGACGCTTGGAGCAGCAGGTACGTTCGCCTGCGCCACGCACGCCAGAGCTTCCCGCCGCCCTTTTCCTAGCCCTAGGACTCCAAGCCCCATAACCTCCATGCCGGCGCCATTGTGTTCATCGAGAGCACGCCTACTCTCGAGTGCGTCCTTTGGCTGCATAAGCTTGAATTTTGTCTACTGTGTTTGTCTGTCTCCGTGCTTCGACTTCACATAGGTTGCCTTCATGCTCGAGAACCCGCACGTGTCGGTGTTGGGCTCCTCCGTCGCCACCTTCAGCGGCGATTCCATCCGGGTGGGCGGCGAGCGCAAGCGCCAACAGCAGCCGGACACCGACGACGCGTCGACGCGGCGGCACCTCCCGGCAGCGGGCGTGCAGCGCATCGCAAGGCACCCCACCGACCGGGCCTTCCTAGCCTGGTCTTTGCTGTTCGGCTGCTGCGTGGCCCACCCCTCGGTGATGCTGCGGCGGGATCGCGTGATCGAGGCCGGGGGCTACGACCCAGCCACCGAGCCGGCGGAGGACTACGACCTATGGCTGCGTATGGAGGCGTTGGCCCCAGGCTGCGTGGCCAACCTGGGCGAGGTGCGGGTGCTGTCTGCATGAATTGAATTGCACCCGGATGTTTTTTTTTTTTCTCCTTGTGGTGACCTACTTTTCGCGTCCAGGGTGTTCTGTGATTCAATGCTGTTTGGTGGTTTCTTCCTCTGGCAGCTGCAGGTGAAGGCCCAGGGCAAAAGAGTGCTGTTTCATTCGTCTGTTGTGCGTTTACGAGGGTCTCTCCATGTCCTCCTCAGTTTCTCGAAATCGTGGAACTTGAAGCACTTTTTTATTTGTGCCCACAGCGATAAAGGCCGGTGCGGTCAACAAACGTCAAAGCAATCGATTTTGTTTTTGACTGCTGGTTTTTATCCAGCAGCTCGCAACGAATCTGCAGGACTGTGACGTATCCCTCCTGGTGATGCCTTCTAATTTGTCATTTTCGCTTTGAGTAGGAAGGGGGGCGTCGTTGTGTGGACTACCCAACTTGAGGCAACGCACATGTGACCATGGCGCCCATAGACCTGTTGCATCCAACACAATGAGAGCTCGTGGGTCTACACGGTTCCCTCTCGCGGGGACAGGCTGGGAGCAGGGGGGACCACCGAGGTTGTCGAAGCTACGTTGCCGTGCGGAAATTTTCTGTCGACAGGCTGAAAAAGATGGACCCATTGTCGTGCCCTGGGGTAGTCACGTAAAGTGGACATTTTCACGGAAAGGCATGGGAGCCTAACACACCCTTGCTATTATGGTGGGTTACAAGGCACATGGCTCATTTTGGGTCCAAGCTTCTTCGTGCCGGTTGATCTTTCTTTCCTCAAAGTTATGGCCGAAGCCCCTGGAGCCAGATCTGTGTGCCTTGAGGCCTTTCAGGGACATGGCTCTGGCGGAGACAAGGCAGAGAGTGTTCTGTCGATCCGCCTGACCCTTCTGAAATTGTCGCCAGTCCCAGTCTACAAAATTTCCCGAGATGAATTGTCCTTTACCTCAACAGACAACGATGTTGCGGGTCTGCAGCTATTCCCTGTGATTTCCTGTTCCACCGGCTCTGCGTATTGCGCGACGAATCCAATCTATCACCCCCCCCCCCCCCCCC